CATCTCCATGTGATGATCTCTTTTGCTTTGAGAAAATAAAGGTGAAACCTCTGCAGATAAATTTTTTTCCCTATACGGACAAACAAAATACACACACACGCATACACACAGCCCCACCATCTACTGTCTTACTGAGTTACATTTTTCCAACTTGTTTCTCAATACTCAGCTCCTGATTTGTGCCTGCTGACATAATTTGGGTACAAGGTTCAGGTTGGGAACAGCTGTTCCCACACCGTTTCTTTTCAGTCACAGAAAACAGGGTTGCAAGTTTGGGTTTATTGTGAAGACGTTGAAGAAGGGAACATACAGCTCGTGTGGGCCTGTGTTGCCTATTTCGGGATCGGGACTTCTGAGTCATGGACTAAATTAGACACAGGTGTTCTCAGCAGCCTGGACAGCTGAGTGATGTGAGGAGAGCCCTGTCCCACGGGCTCTGCTCTTTGAGGGTCCTAGGGCAGAGGAGGACTCAGGACAGTCAGGACGGGGAGAAAAGCACTCAGGCACTCTTAACATTAGGCCCCCAAAGCGGCCTCTGGGTAAGGACTAAGTTGTGGTTACTCCTTGGTAAGGTCTGGTTTCAAATCCTGGTCACAGTGGCTTCTACTCTCAGATACATAAGGCAGCTCGCTCACTTATTTCAATTCTGTAGCCTATCAGGTGGTACTAATTCATAAATTACAAGGTCTTTCTAGAAATCAAGTGCAGTGACTAGTAACTGCCCCACACATAGTAGATGCTTAACACATAGCACATACCATGACTGGTTTCATTCCTGAATTGCCCTTTGTTAGTTCTGTCTTCCACTCCCAGACCCTCAAGCTAAGCTGTTGGAGGGCAAGGACTGAATTATTCATCTTTGTAATCCCCGAAGGACAGGAAGGGATGCAGGTGGTCATCAGCAAACCCTCCTGGGCTAACCTATCAGCAGCTGGGAACCCCCACTGCCATCCTGACCCTATCTTGACATACTGATGGGATGGACGTACCACAGAGCGTGCTTCTGAACGCCCCTTCACGCATCATGGTGTTGATTAGCAGAGTGAGAAACAGACAGGAAGCAAGCAGGAGAAACCTGGAAACACACAGCTTACTTCAGTCGAAGCGTCAAGTGCATTAAGGGGAGGACAGAAGTCCTGTGGACAGAAGACTTTCCAGGGAAGGGTCAGAGGTGAGAGCTGCCCAGGCTCTGGTTCTGATTCAGCAGGCAGACCCCCGGTGCAAGGGCCAGGGAGGGCTGCGGAGTTCTGCAAATGTGGCTGAGGGTGTGGACGTTTGGGTGACTGTCATTCATTCGTCAAGTGCTATGAGGACCCGCTATGTGCCAAGCACCGGGCAAGGGGCTGCAGATGCAATGGAGAATGAGACATAGTCCAGTGGGCATTTAGACAAAGCAGAGCTGATTATAAAATGCTGGGGCACGAGGAGTCAGTACTCAGAGGTGAGGGAAAGGTGCTGGGGAGGGGATAGCCCAGCTGGGATCAGAAGGTCAAGTTGGAGTAGGACTGGCCGGAGGAGGAAGAGCATTCCAAACAGAGAACAGCACTTGAAAGGCCCCAGGACGCTTGGCTTGAAAGTCGGACAGGGAGCTTACAGAAGCCGTTAGAGGGACTGGTGCTGGGACCCACCCACCAGATCCAGTGGTGGGGACCCTGAGACAGTCTCCCAGGTGAGAGGCTAGACATTTTAGGGAGCATCCTTCCTGGGGGTTACAGATGCTCCGCATCCAGCCAGGAATGGAGGAGGTGAGTAAGAAATGCCCCGAGGCTGAGAGCAGGAAAACCTGAAGGGACAGCTTCATCCACGACCAGCGGTGCTTGGAAATCCCCTCGCTCCTCGGTGATGTCTCCGCCATCCCAAGCCTTAAAACCCCGCCGTCTAAGAGGCCGCTGCCTCCATGGGGCTCAGCACAGGACAACACGCAACAGGTGTCTGCGCTTGCGAAAGTGGAAGGGAGCAGAGTACAAGCACGCACCGCTCCGCCCCGTCCTCCCCCTGGGCAGACAACACAGGGTGCCACGGAGGGGAAATAATGGGACGGGCCGCAGGAGTCCCAGGTCTGGGCCCTCAGCAAGTCACTTTCCCTCTCGAGTCTCAATTTCATCTGCAGAATAGCATGGTTTTGTATCTGCCTGTTGGGCTCGTAAAGTTACACGTGATGGTCAGCTGCTATATGATAATGCATGTGTATCTTGAAACTGTAAAGGGAAGACTGGCTCTATTTAAGGACCTCCAGATGTCTGCTGTCTCAGGTTCAGGACTGTGGTTACTGTCATCAGTATGGCCAAGTGGGAAAGAGCCGGCACTTTTCTTCCCAGAGAGCAGCAGAGCGTGTTCCCTCTGCCCACTGAGGAAGCTGACTTCAGGCATCAACGAGCATCACCGGGAAGTCACGGTCATGGGTCCCCGAAGGGTCCTGCTCCCAGCTCTTCCCTGCTTGTGCAGGAAGCCAGAGAGGCCACATCAGGCCTCGACACAGGGGTGGGGTTCCCTGGGGTCAAAGTCAGAGAGAAACTCGGAACCCTGGAATGCTCGGGCTGGGAGGGACCTTTGGACGGATCCAGTAAACAGTTGTTCAGTGCCTTCAATATGCACCAGGCACCGGGCCAGGTGACTTATAGACATTAAATAGCCTCCATGACAACCTGGGCTGACGCATCATTGTTATCTCCGTTTTGTGAGTTCACATGGGCGACAGGGCTAGCCAAGGGCATGTGCCGCCCATCTGGATCCGTATCCTCTCATTGCTTGGGTTTCTTCTCAGATCTTCAGAGATACCTTCCATGTTCCTTCTCTCCCATGGCACCTGGATATGTTACATAACGCCTTTGCAATTACATACATCTTTGTGTGTTGCCTTTTTTAATGTCTATGTTTCCAGCTGGACTGTACACACAGGAACCAGAACTCTATTTTGTTCACTACTGCTGTTCTAGTGCTTTGGAAGCATTCAAGAAAACACCTGTTATATCAGAATAAACACAGGTATTAAAAACTTAAACATCCACTGGGTCCACAATCATCCCTGCCCATCTCATAGTTTACACAGTCCCCAAAGCCTTGCAGGTGCTCAAAGAATTCATCATGACTGAGGAATAGCCACTTAAACTTGCTCCTTACCTGTTGAATATATGCAGATCGTGGCTGCTTCTGCCCTGGCAGAGAATCATGGTTTGTCTAGACAAACATCCAA